GTCAGTCTGCTATATATTTGAGTAGAAATCATGTACTTCATAATCGATCAAAACATGTTGATGTGAAATTTTATTTATTAGAGATGTAATTTCTCAAGGTATTGTTAAATTTGAAAAGATTTCTACGCAATTTAATCATGTTGATGTTGGTACTAAAGTATTGCCTTTAAACAAATTTCTGGACTGTTTAAAACAGTTGAATATTAACGTCTGCTGATTTGTGTATCAGGTATAAGTGCAAATGATACCATGTCTGGAGAAGTTATTGCATATAATTGGAATCATTATACCAAGGTGGAGATTGTAAGGAAATGTGGCACAATGATGTGGCAATTTTGACTGGCTGACTGGACCAGCTGTACGTGGACTTTGACTGGCTTCTCAAATAAATTGAGTAAGCTGAAAAGAAATTGATGGTTATTAAAAACGTGTTTCACCAACACGTTTTTTTTACTAATGAGCTAAACAAACTTGATGATGACAAGTGTCACCTTTATGGCCATTGGATGGAGTTATTCTAGAGACTTCATATTTACGGGCCTCTTGAGTCTAGGGTTGGCAGCTTCTTCATTCATCTTCATCTCTTGGTTTCTCTCTCAAATACGGCTATAGAATAATCCTCCTAATTTCTGAGTGCCATATTATTCTTACACAAATCTGTGTAGAACTCATTTAGTTGTTGATTCTACTTTGTGAAATCATATAATACTAGTTTTGGGTGAGCTTGTATACGAACCGATTTCACATTACTGGTCTTGAGTGAACTGTTGAGGCAATATTGTGAGGGTTGTTGGTAATCTTGAGTGATTTTTGGCTTAGGACTTAGATCTGTAACTGTTGGACGGTTCATGATTCTAGTTAATGCAATGAATTCTTCCGGTGATAGAAGCACAAAAGGGGATTAGGAATTCCGGTACTGAACCTCTTGCCTTAGGGCAAAAATTCTTGTGTTCCTTACATTTCTTTCAGTTTATTTTGTGCATTATTAATACTGTTTTGTTGATTGAAGTATCTAATAATTTGTGAACTACTCGTTACAGAACACCAATTTTAAAAGTTCATAAATTAAAAGCTTTCATCTTCGATAATCGAGAGATCTGTGAAGTCATTGCGGAAACCAAAAAATTCACATCTGAACGTCTCCAAATTTCTTTCTCCAGATATGCCAAAATAAAAAATTTCAGGTAATGAATTTGTTCTTAAGTAAGTTTATTTTTATTTTCAATTATACATAATTTTTATGGCGTCAACCATGCTTCTTGGTTTCAAAAATTAATTATTATACTTGGAAAAAACGAAGAGACCCTAACCAACTTGATTATCATTGAAGTAGTGGGGATCATAATTGACAAAATATCAGATACGTGGCCGAATTTCATTCACTAACATTTTGCAAAGTGTTAGGATTAGGATTACATGAACAGCAATATTGAAATTTGTTATTTATTTAATAAAAACATATTTTAATTGCGATGTGATTATAATGTGGTGTATCAAATAAATTTTGTGATGGAAATATAATTTGTATTTTATAATTGAAGGCCATTTGACCAAAAGATATTGAAAGAAAATTATTTAATCGATTTGATTGGGTTATTTAACAAAATTTTCCATTTTACACCACCATTTTATGCTATTATGCACCCTTTTTAAATCTACTAGTTCCGTCAATAACGTGACCGTGGAATTTCAAATCTAGTACATTTCATAGGAGGAATCTTTCCTCGTACCGTCACTGTTAGTCTTGGGACGGATGTTCCCGAGTCTTCTAATTGAATTATGTGGTCCATTCTGGAGAAAATGAAGGTTACTGATCGACGTGGGAACTGTTGAAAGCAGAAATCTCTGTGTAGTCCCTTTTAACTTTTAACACACGTGTATGAACATTGAGAATTTCAAGGTATATTGTTTAGGGACTGTTCAGTGGTGATTATAAAAAATGATTTTTTGATAGTTAGAGAAAAAAGTGGATCTCATTTATGAGTGAAGAAGTAAAAAATGACGTTTGAAATAGTAAAATAATGATAAAAAAATTAATTTTTTGGGATGAAAAAATTACTACCAAACGGGGGTTAGAATATCAAATATGAAGTTGAAGATTTTGGTAATATAATCTAGTTCTGGGTGCTGAGATATCTTGTTATACATGTGCTGCAGCCGAAAATGCTAAATGAATGAAATTCTAGATGGTATAAACTATAGCTTCGATATCTTATTGGTTGTTAGTTTATAAACCTCGTCGTGTTATGAACAGTGAAATCCATTAATCTTTCGACCATAGAGAGGCACCAGTAATATCCTTGGAAAATGTCACTTTTCTTGAAAATATTTGATACCTGGGTTGACCGACCCCCACAAAGTGTGCGGATTTCATGTGAATTAAATAATGCTCGACCCTCGAAGTGTGTGTTCGATCATCCCCTATATCCACCATTATGTGCCTCTAACGCAGTCTAATATCATTTGGGTCAAAATATGGTTAACCAATGATGGAAAAATCCTTTAGCAGGTTGGTATAAAATGGCGGCGTGGAGAAATTCAATGTTCACATAGAAGGGGCCTACTGTTTGATATTTCTTTGGGTAGATTCATATTAGATAAGGCCATTTATTTGAAATTTCGCTAAAGAGATACGAAGTCATTGTTGCAGAGATCCTAAGCAACCCAATATTATGTATGACCTTACTTTTGTGTTGGTTTTTGAATTGGTCAACCTGCATAATTGGCTAATTATTCATATTCTTTGTTTTAAGAATCCAAACCCCAGATTTCAAAAGACATGAATACCAAAAAAAACTTAAAAAGGACTTGTGGGGTTTGTTTCTTTATTAGTGATTGACCTAATCAGGCGATGAAGTAAAATATTGGAGAGTGGTTACAATTTGTCCGTGTCTATATAGCTAGTAATACGCAATTCAATCCAATCCAATCCAACCCCATCCCATAAAAAATGAGATATAGAGTGGGTGATGCGAAGAACTCCAACAGCCCGCCTTAGACGATTCGTTACCATTGCTGCAAGAAACTCAAGTTGGCTATTTTTTATATTTATGTCGTATCTTAAATACTTTTGTAATATTTTTCTTGTCATAACATGCTAATAGGTTAATAGTTATGGACAATCAAGCATTTAATCTATGCCATCCATATTCTCTTTGGTTTCCATTTGGCTACTTCTAACCTTGCATGGCATTATGATATATGGATATTTTAGAAGAAAAATGCCATATAGTAATATTAGTGTTAAAGCACCAAATTAGGTGGCTACACGAGATAGATTCAATTAAATTAATCATATGACCTTAGATTTGAATGAATATATCATTTAGTATCATTTATTTGTTATCTAAACTGGTGCTGACTATCAGTAGTATTGAATAACATTAATTGTTTTGAAGTTAAGTCAACATACATTATTTTGTGCATGTCGGACACGTGTACATCACATCGTTTAATTAATTAGGGTTTATTAAGCATACGAAACCACAAGATTAGAAATATTTTGTTGTGCGTAATTACGTCAAATTTGTGTTTAGTTGGAGTATCTCTCCGAGTCTCCCAACAATTTTTTAATAAGAATAGATGATTGTGGAAGGAGAGATTGTTGGGTTTGTTTCTACACCCTTTCTGTACAATGCAAGGAATCTATATTGATTTTTCCCATTTATGGCCCATGGAATTGAAATTTTTGCAAGTGTTGGCCAATCAAACGAACAAACTTGCAAGAAATTGTATAGTTGTCAAGAACTTCAAGTGTTGTCCGTCTCGCTTGTCTCACCAACCAGTCCTCGATTTTCAAATTTTTAGTTAACTTTGTCCCCTCGAGAAATGCACCTTGCTTGTGGTCCTAGTACAGAGGACTACTTTGACAAATGGCTTGAACATAATGTTATCAAATTCAATTAGGGCCTGTTTGATATAAACTATTTTCCACCCTTCACCTTGTTTGATTGCAAGAATTTTCCCTCCCCCACCATGTGATCCTTATTTTCCTTGAATTGGTTTCCTTTTGGTTTTCGTGAAAATTTGTTTTCTAGCCCTTTTTTTTTTTTGGAATAAATTTTATCCACAATTATAACAAATTCTATTCCTTTAATTGAGTTTTTTCATAAAAAATAATACTAAACGAACACCAAAGGATAGAAAATTTCAACATTTTCCAAGTGAAAAATTATATCAATCAAACACATTTAATTGATAATTCCCATTAAAACAAGTTGTAAGCAATTCGATTTGGTGGAATTCGTTTTTTTTTTCACAAAAATTTCATTCTTGTAATCAAACGGACCCTTAGAGTCGTATTTTATGGTTATGACTCTACCATACATAACTAATAACTTTTTTCATTTCGTCTCAGACATTTATACTGTATTTTCTATGTCTTGCGGTTAGGTATGGCAATGGTCGAGCCGGCTCAACTTGACCCTTTAACCCACGAGCTTGACTCAAGTTCAGGCTCGTGATTCGTGAAAAAAGAGTAGAGCTTGGCTCGTTGCTCGAGGGTAAGCTCCGAGCTCACAAGCCGCTCGCGAGCTAGTGATTTTTTTAATTTTAATTTTTTTTTCGTAAATTTGCACATTTTTTACGAGCCTCGTGAACTTTGGCTCGTGGGATGCTCTGGGGCTCGGCTCGTGGGATTAAGCCTCCTTGTCAGCTTGGGCTCGGGCTTTTCACTTGACCGGACCGAGTCGCCCACGAGCCGAGTTTTAACGAGCTGAGCAGCCGTCCCTACTTGAGGTAATGATTCCTAGACCTTTACTACATGTTATATTCTTGATAAAATTGCCCTTTGAAGGTTCCATAGACGGGCTAAGGAACCTCGTGCGAAGCTCAGATACAAATATAACGTTCTTGTTCTTGTGCTTCAAAAAAGGAACTATCTTTTAAAAAGCTTGTCATATATATGTTATATTAGAATATATTTGCACATGCTTCATCTTTTTCCAATCTTTTCTTTTACTTTCTTGTAGTATGATGACTTCCTCTTTTTCCAAGATTTGCATGGTGAAACAGTATAATTTTTCAAAATTACAAACAATTGGATGTGTGTGATAAGACGTTGGCTGAGAGAATTACATCTGTGAACTAGTTATTTTGATGGGATTTAGTTTCCAGAAAGCTAATTAGTAAGATAATACATTCAATTAAGGATATGATTTCCTTTTGACAGAGGTACAACTATTCAGGCTACTGCTTTCTTCATGATCATCTGATTCATTATTAGTCGAAATCTCTGTAATCCCACTAGAACCCGAAGACAACGTAGCTGGAACAAGATTCAAATCAATCCTATCCTTGGCCATAAAATCATGAAAGATAATCCTAGTATTCCCAGAAATGGCACTTCTGTCGCCATTTTGTGGTTGCTCGTTTTTATTGTTTCTCCTCTTCAAAAATATTCGGCAGAGAACCCAGTTTTCCTGCAAAATGTTGTCATTGACGTAGTAAGGACATGTTTCCTAGCAATATTCGACTCGACACAGTTACTTTTTAGTATGGAAATCTCACATGTGCTAAACTTTTGGCCTGTGGGGCAGTTGTGGCTGTGTTTTGAGAATTGACAAGGCGATATTCGTGCATAATCCAATCAGTTCGGCAGCCTGTCGGCGGCTTTCCTCTGTAGAAAACGAGAGTTTTTTTCATCCCGACAACCTGGCGGCTCCGGGGACTCACAATTTGTTTATCTAATCCAGTTGCCTTCCAGTAGCCGGAACCAGTTGCCCGGTTTGATCTGTTCCCATTTCCATTCGGGTACTTAACCTCTCTAGTGCTGAAAAAGTACCTATCTTGCTCTGTATCACCTGTACATAAACAAACTCGTAAATTCAACTGAAAATTTCTGATAAAGAAGCAACATTTTAATTGTCGAAGAGAGACCTGGCAAATCCCATGGATCACAGTTACAAACATCAACCTCTGGTATAATAGAAGCTGGCAAAGGATAGGATAAGACTTTTCGATTCAAGTATTGCACCACGAGCTCTTCATCTGTAGGATGGAACCGAAATCCAGGAGGCAATTTAATTTCACCATTTTTCACAAAGTTGAGTTTCTCCATATCTTCTTTCTCTTCTCTAAACTCAAACAAATACAAATGAAAGAAAAATCCACCCTTCAATTCAAATTTCTAATCCAAACCCAAATTCAAGATCAAGATTTTCTTCCTTGAGTTGTTGAATATGGAGATATTTACATACATGCACCTATAATCTATAATAATATGTTTTTAACCAGAAAGGCACAAGAAAAAGAGAGTGAGAGAGAGAGAGAGAGAGAGAGAGAGAGTGAGAGGTAAAGAATGGGTATGTGAGAGGGTTCTTTATAGGAATGGGGATGTTGCGGAAGAAGGGGCTGTTAGATGAGTAGAGAATAGAAGAAAAGAGAATAAAATATGAACCAACCTAGTATTTGGTGTAAAAGACACTCAATTGCATTTTATTAAACCAAGTTTAAGAAGAAGAAAAATAGACTTTCTTTCCTATGCGAAAAGGTTTTCCTAAAAATCCATGTTGTGTTGTGTTTTGTTCAACAGCATTTTCCTATTTCTTACATTGTACATTTGCACTTGTCACGTTCTCGTATTAATTTAGAAGTTGGTTTAAAGTACCATTTAAATTAGTACTTGGAAGAGTAACCATCTATATAAAATGCCCTGTAAAATAAGGTGAAGTCATTTTAGTGATATTGGTTTCTGTTTTGCCCGGGTATGCTCGGTGTACTCGTATATGAATATTTTTTATCAATAATATTTACATTTATCGATAAAAAAAAAATGCCCTGTAAAGTAAGGTGAACTCATGCTTGTTGAACTGGGAGTACCTTGACCTTTACTTTTTTAGGATATTTTAGTTTGGGTCAATATATTTACGCCATAATTTTTGTTAATTACACCATATTTTAATTATAATGAATATCACTAAATTTTTCTTATTATCACAATTATGTTCTCAATTTTTATTAATTTTTTTTTATTTTTTATCATCAATCCTTATTAAATTTCACATTTTGTTTATGAACGATTTTCGTCCAAAGTATTTGTTATGATGGCCAAAAAGACATGTATCTCTTGCATTTTTAAGTGATTGAAATAAATAATTAATATAAAAGCTAAAAAAAATATTCGTCCATCTTTTCAATGTAAGTCAGTAGAATATTAGTATGAAAATTGATACTAGAGACAAAAGATTAAGAATGACAATGCGACTAGAAAAAAGTTAAGAACACAATCTCGGCTTGGTTTTCCACTCTATTAAGAGGTTCCCATCGAGAAATTAATTAATTTGATTTTTAAAAGCAAATGTGAGCGAATATTGAAAGCCTCTTGTAATTAAAATGTGGTGTAGATATTAAAAAAAAAAAATTTGTTTGAACATAATTACCCTTTTAGTTTTCAATACGTTATAACTCCTCAGTGTTATTATTATTATTATTATTTTTTAATTTAATTGAAAAAAGGTAAAAACACTATCATGTTCAAAGATGCACCATTATCATAATTGAATTGTAGCCAGGGGTAGGCACCGATCGGGTTGGGACGGAATCGAACTCAAATAGGTCCCAATCCAAAAACAGAACCAACTAAAAATCTCAATCCAAAACGAGTCAAAGCTTGGAAAATTTGACCCAAAATGACCCCAAGTCAGGTCGATTTGTCGTACCATGAAATCATTTTTTTTTTTTTAATACTTTTATTAGTTGGGCTTGGACCCGACCCGACCCGAATTCCCATGAATCAATCCAAACCGATCCGAATTGGACTGATTTGTCATTATTGTGGATATCGTGGTAAATATATTATTATTATTATTATTATTATTATTATTATTATTTATTTATTTATTTATATTTTTTTTGAAAAATTTGACCTAAAGGTTGAGGATTTCAACTTGGCTTAGATCCAGCCTAAACCATATCAATTTGCCATGAATTCAACCCGAAAGTGATTCGATTCGGGTTGAATCAATTTCATGATTGGGTTGATTTATGAGTTTAGTGAGTACTGTGAAATCTAATTTTTTATTTGTTTAAATAAACATGAAAATCGAGGCTTTTGGGTCGGCTTGAAACTTGAGACTTAACCCAACTTCTCGTGAAATAGACTTGATTTGAATCCTTTTTTTTTTGGGTTAGATTGAGTTGTGTTGATTTCACGGTTATTATGTCCCCCTCTATGCATTTTTAATTATGTACCATGATGCTCATAGACGCCGTGAAAAAACAAATATCCATGTAATAATATGAACACGCGTTTGACCTTCAAATAGCAGAAGGATACAAGAAATATAACTCCAAAGATAGCAATTAGCAACATACACATGGCCTAGGCTCAGCAAAAAGATAATATTAAAAAGTTAACACTACAACTAATTGAATGCAATTTTAAATGGTATATGTAGTCGTATTTACTTACTCTAGTTTCTTTGGACGTATGCAGAAGGAACAAAGCAATATAAATTATTTCTATGAAGCCTCCAAAAGAGTTGATAGAGATAAGTGGAAGTACATTCCCCTCAAGAACACTGGTAGTAAAATTAGGTTTCCTAAAAAGAAAAAAGATCTTTCCACCATTATGATCTATTGATTTACATTATCAGCCAGAATATTGTGATTAATGAAACACGGAAAACCGAACTGTTGAACCTTCTTGTCTCTAAATGTGAGATTCTTTAAAAAGAGAGAAGTATTTATTTATTGTATAATCAAAAGAAGTAATTCAAAAATTAGTTGATTTGGCATATTTTCAACCACCTCGTCTCAAAATTTAACATTTAGAAAAGAGAAACGTTTATTTATTAAAATTTAAATAAAAACAGTTAAGTGAACGGCTGATTTTTGGAAACGGATGTTTTGGATTGAAGGTTTTTAAATAATTATATCAGGAACCAAAAAAAAAAAAAAAAAGAGTGTAATGAACAGAAAAGATTAAAAAAATTGATCCAAACCGACAGCCGAACTTGTTAATTGTATTGGGTAAAATCACAACCCGTAACAAATAGAAAGATTTAAAAAATCGACCCAAATTGACTTTGAATTGGGTTGGTTTGTCGATTTGAACCATAAATTTTAAGTGGAAATTACAGGATTCCTACATTAAAAATCCAAAATTCTAAAATGAGATGGGTAGTTTCATTGTTCCAAAATCAGATGTTTTGCTAAATATGTATACTTCAAAAAAACCTAATTATTCCCATTTTCATTTCCCCCCCACCCCGATTCTCTCTCTCACGTCTCTCTCTCAATTGCCCGATGACAGACGATGGAGGAGCTACACCGTTGCAACATCATCGACCATGCTGTTGCGAACGTCCCCTTTGCAGCGTCGACGTACTAATGGCGAGGGTGAGTAGATCGCGATGGAGGTGGATCTGTAGTGTGCATGCGATGGTGGTTCGACGAACTGGTGTGCATGTGGTGGCAGTTAGATCTGTGGATCTATGTTGGTGTGGTTGTTGTGGAACGATGGGTGTGGTGGTTACGTGCAACGGTGCGAACTGGTGTGTGTGTCGTGTGCGTGGTGTGCGTGCGGTGGTGGTTCAACGAACTAGTGTCCGTGTGGATCTGTGGTGGTTGTGGAATGGTTGGGGGTGGGTTTTGTTGGCTGTGGTGGCGGTAGAGGAGGCGGTGCTGGCTGTTGGGTGGATGTCGTGATTGTGGAATGATTTGGGGGTGGTGCTAGCTGCGTTGGTGGTGTTGAAATTTATGACCGTGATTGTGACTCCCAATTGTGACTCGTAATTGGATAGGTAATCTAAAAAATTGTGATCAAAGAATTAATCGTGACCAATAAATTCACTAATATTTGGATATGTGACCTAAAATTGTGACTATGACTCACAATTGATGAAATTGTGACAGAAAAATTAATCATGACCAATTTATCCAATAATTTGCAATAAAAATAATCTGTGACCTAAAAAATTTTGGATTCTATGATCGTTGATTAATCCGTGACCTATAAAATTTTTGAATTCGTGATCGATGAATAATTCGTGACATGTAAAATTTTTGGATTCGTGATCGAAAATATTTTGTGACCTATAAATTTTTCGATTTGTGATCTATGAACAAACTGTGACCTATAATAAAATAATTTGTGACATAAAATTTCGAATTTGTGATCAAAAAATAATAAGTGACGAATTAAATCGTTAATTTGTGATCAAATTATATAAATTTGTGACTTTAATATGTTTAATTACTAAATAATTAATTAATTAATTAAATGATATATAATTTTTAATAAAAATCTTATTTTTGAAAATTGAAACTGGTTTTCTTGTTTTTGAAATGTGCCATAATTAATCTCTTAAGAAATTTTCCCATTCTTAATTTACATGCAAAGTCGATGTAGCCCGGTCCAGTCCCTTGACCCAATTTACATTATTGAAATTTTATTACTTATTTATTTTTATTTTTATTATTATTTATTTTTTATTTTTTGAGCAGTCTTAATTCTGCCCCGGCTTATATGCAATATAATACATTTCATAATTTGAGGGGGGAAAATAATATGTTAGGGCACTAAACCCATCCAATGCGAGATTGGATTGGTGTTCAATATAAAATCGATGAGAGAACGAGGCATTCCAAGGGAGATGTTCAAAATCAAAGGAATGAAGGAAGAATCAATAAGAAATCTATAACATAAATCCTCAAAAAAAAAAAAAAAAAAGGGGGGGGAGAATTTTAAATTTAAAATTTTAGAAGTTGCAAAAAAAATAAAAATCGGAGTT